CAGCTCCCGAGGCACAAAAGCCAAATAAGTCCTTGAAAATTGAAGTGGGAAAGAGGGTAGGAAGGGATAAATTGAGAGTTCGGGATTTGCAGACACTAACTACTATATATAAAATAGATAAACAGCAAGGTCCTACTGTAGAGCACAGGGAACTATATGCAATACCTTGTCATGGCCAATAATGAAAAAGAATGTGAAAAAGAAACACATATATATGAATAAGTGAATCACTATGCTGTACAGCAGAAATTAACACAATATTGTAAATTGAGTATACGTCAAAAAAAAAAGAGAGAACAAAAATTGAAGTGGAGCATTAAATGTAGTGTCTCATGAATTGAATTTCCATAAGCCAAATGGCAATATATCATCAGCAAATGATGGTTAACAGAAAAACAGCAACACTGGTTGTAAAATAACAAAAGTGCAGTTTGTTGACTTGTCACAATCTTCTAGGCGTCATGCTTAACATGGCTTTTCTAGCGTCTCATCCAGTTCTTGTTTCCCTGATTGGTCATGTTGAAGGTCGTCTACACTATTAGAGAGAGAATGTGATGAGTAAGGACTATTTAAACTTAATCCTTGTATCTTATCCTAGACAGTAGGTTTACCCTTTTAGGTATAGGTGGCGTAGAGCTGGGGAGGTGGAGAATGGGGGTGAATTTAACTCTGGCACAGCCAGACTCTTAAAGCCTAAGGAGATTAACTTAGTCAGATTTCCTCTTCAATTTAAAAATATTTTTAAAGTACTTTTATCTGTTATGGAAGTTGTTTAGATTCAGAATGCTTTTCTGGATTGATTTATACCAAAGCCAGTGTTTTGTGTAATTCACTGTACAAAGACAAAACAGTAGGCATTAAGTTCATACACAGTGCTATATATTTTCAGGTTATAATTTAAGACACTGTTGCCAAAGTCACCTTGAGGATTTAAAAAATCACAATACACTCAGAAAAGAAATAAGTAACTTACCTACAAAATTTTATTATAGTATTCTTGAATGGAGTGGTATAGTAAATTTATTTTTATTTTATTTATCTTTTGGATGGGGAGGTAATTAGGTTTGTTTTTGTTTGTTTATTAGAGGAGGTATTGGGGATATTGGGAGTTTGTTATATAATTTCTCACACATGCTAAGCGTGCACTCTACTGCTTGAGCTATACCCTCTTCCTGATGTAGGAAATTGATGTAAAAATTTGACTGTCCACAAAAGAGCCACTATTTGGAGATATCATATCAAAGTGTAACTGGCTTATCTTTTGGTCCAAGGTGCATTTAGCACCTCCTGAATGCAAGAGTGTGTTATTTACTAAGAACATGCAGAACGATCACTGAATTAAATGTGTTTGTCTTTGTGGCCAACGTCATTCATTAGCCAAAGTGACTAGTTGTATCACCATTTAAAGACTGAAACACCCATATGAAGTATTAGGTTAAATGTTGGCAGTGTGTACTCTCTTCATAGGGACCCACCTTTCTGAGACTCTGATAGTCACGTAACCAGAAAAATTATTCATTAGCAAATGTGGGTGATAAATACAGTTGCAACCCTACACTGCATTTGCTGGTGTTGACTTAGAAGGAATGTGATGCTGTTTGTGAAACACCTGTGGAGGCGGTTGAACCAGTTAACGTTATTGATAAAAGGGTTAATATGATTCTTAATACGTTGTATTAGATTGTTTTCCTCGTGGTTTATAGAATTTTGAATTTCATAGTCCCAAAACAAAAAGTTTGCCAAGAATGAATACTTAAAGGAAAAAAAACCTTCTATTGTTGCCATCACTTCATGAAACTGTGGACAAGAAAATGATCTGACATTTAGTCAGTCTCACTCAATAAATGTTTGTTGAATTAAATGGATAGATGAGTGAACAACAAAAAAAGTTGTGATGATATAATATCAGAATAAAGGAAAGCCTTTAAATGAAATAGACTCAGTTTTGGGAAAAACTAAATGCATTGTCCTTAACATTGCAATTTCCCCGTGTCCCAGCACGCTCTTCACGACATACCATGAGCCCACAGGTTGATATGGGGAGACCTGCTGCATAAACTAGCCACTGAATAGTTCAAAGTCAGCTGTATTCTGGACCGGCTCCTTATCTCTTTGACTACCTACCACTGGCGATTCACGTCTAGCCATGTACCAAGCCCCTACTCTGAGCCAAACACTAGTAGTCCAAGATTTGAGGATGCCAGAAATGATGAAGTCCCAGCCTGGGCTTTTGAGACGAGTGACTTATTTGGGAAAATAGATGTGCTCCTCCCCTGCTTCTAAACAGATAAACCCATATTACACCACAGCATGGTAAGCGTCCCCAAAAGACTGCCTAGGGCTAGGTGTATGGACAACGGAAAGAAAATAAAGATGAATTCTGTGATGAACTTGGGAGTGAGTGTTGGATAAGATGATGTTTTGCTATAAGTTTAGAGTCTTTCCCAAGCTCTTGTGGCCTGTATTTCTAGGTAAACACAGTGCTTTGGGTTCAGAAGCAATAGTTGTGTGGCCTGAACTAACTTAAGTCTCAATTCTTGCACTGTGAAAATAAGATAATGGCTCTGTCTACCTTACAGAGTGGTGGTGAGGATGGCATTGCATATTACTTGTACAGTTAGTACAGTGGCATGTAGTTAAGTGGATGGTATAATTATGACAGACTTCAGCAGGGTGGGCTAGAGATGGCAATCAGTGGACACGGAGGCTTTTATTAAACCCTGATGGGCTGACTCTTCACCCACAGGCTTAAAATAATCTCTCTTCTGAATTTCCATAGCAGTTTACATTTAATTCCTTTGAGATATTTGAAATTTCCCTTTGGTACTATAGTTACATGTGAACTTGTTTTATTACCTTTGCTAGACTGTAAGTTTATCGAGGGCAAGAATGTGCTATATAATTTCCCTTTGCAGTTCTAGCTCTCAAGAGCAGTGATGATTGACCTCTAGGTATTCATAGTATAAATGAAGAAGAATGAGTCAGTATTTAAATAATGAATGAAAGGTGGAATATTCCTCTCCATCAAATTTAGTATTTGCCAGCCTTGTTTATACTCAACATAGATAAATAATTCTGGTTTTTTAAAATGTGCATTTCATATTAACTAATGAAATTGAGCTTCTTCTCATGTGCTATTTTTTTTTTTTGGTGAAGTCTATCAAGTATTTTGAATTCTGGGGGGTTGTTTGAGACTTCAGCTTGATGCTGGCCAGTTTGCAGAATTCCTGGCTACTTCCCAGAGACAAAAATGACCTAGAAACTTGGCTCTAGGGGTGTGATGTCTTGACTGTTCCACAACTCCACGATTCGTGAACGCAGAGCATAAAACTGAAGTTGCAAACAGACCATGATAAATCCCTGAGATATAAGTGGTCATGCAGAACTGGGTGTAAATTCAGTCTGGTACCCGTACATCTGCAGTTTTATGTAACATTATTTCAGTTCTTTTTGAGAGCCTAAACAAGCACAGGAGTTGGTTCTCAGAGGCAGTCGAGAGAAGTAATTTGAAACTTGAACTCTGGAGTGACACACTGTAGTTCTGTTTCTCCCTCTGCCATTTACTGTCTTCTTTGGGTCTTAACTAATCTCTCTGGGCTTCAGTTTCTTCATCAAAAAAATATGGAAGAAAATAACAGTAAGTGTATCCCAGGCTGTTGTTATAATGAAAGGAATGAATGCATGCCAATAGCATTTAAAGAGTGCTGAATTCATAGGAAGTGCTTTATGAAGGTTAGCTGTTGTTACTACTGATTTGGGGTTGACAGCCTGGCAGGGTTAGGTATTCTGAAGTGCAGACTTTCCTTAGGAACTGCTCAGCCTTTCTCTGGATAGCTTTTCATTCATTAAACATCAGTCTTCAACAGCCACATACTGTTTGATTCCATTTATACAGAATTCTCTAAGTGATAACATTATAGAGGTGGAGAACATTCTAGCGGTTGCCAGATGTGAAGGACTTGGAGTGGGAGGATGTCAGGGGTTAGCGTGAGGGAGTTTCTTTGTCTTGATGTAATAGTTCAGTGCCTTGAGTGTGGTGTTGGTTACAGTGATCTATACATGTGATAAAATTGCATAAAAAGACACACACATGTAAGGAGTACACATAAAAACTGGTAAAATCTGAATAAGGTCTATAGATTGTCCTAATGTCGATGTCCTGGTCTGATCTGTACTTCAGTTATTTCCATAAGTGTCTGGATGAAGGGTACACAGGGACTCTCTGTACTATTTCTTATTGCTGTTGGTCTTTCCAGCAGCTTTAGGGAGATACAGTTCATATAGCCTACCATTCACTCATATTAAAGTGTACAAGTCACTGAGTTTTTAGCATAGTCACAGATCTGTGCAGTCGTCACCACAGTCAATTTTAGACCATTTCACCACCTCAGAAAGGAACCCCACACTTTAGTTAACACTCCCTACCCACTAGACCTCTCCAGCCCCTGGTACCCACCAATCTACTCTGTCTCTATAGATTTCCTTATTCTGGATTTTTCACATGAATGGAATCACATGCTATGCGGTCTCTATATTATTTTTGCAACTCTCTGTGGGTCTATAGTTATTCCAAAATGAAAAGTTAAAAAAATGAATGGCTGTGTTGCTATGGGACAAGCACTGTGCTGGGCACTGGGGACACATGACTAAATGAAGCCATGATCACTGCCCGCAAAAGCCTAGAGTTTAGTGGGAAAGTCAGAGAAGTCAATGGACAATGAGAAAGCGGTGTGATAAATGCTCTGATGGAGGTAAAGTAGGAGCCAGGACAACACCAGGAAGAGTATAACATAGATTGCGGGTAAGGTCAGGCCAAGTTCCTCCAGTGGAACTGGTTAGCAGAATTTTTAAGTGCAGGGAACGTGGAAAGAATCTGAAACCGTGTGTGGACTGTGACATCTGTGAAACTCAACTCTTTCTGAAAACTTTTGCCCCTGTTGGCTGGGGTCTTCAGGCACCAGGATGCCAGACAGTCCTCATCCGTTGTTTGTTCTCCCCAGTGTCCAACAAGCACCCGTTTGTGGACAGCAATCTCCTCTACCAGTTCAGAATGAACTTCCGGCGGAGGCGAAGACTGATGGAGCTGCTCAATGAGAAATCCCCCTCCTCCCAGGAAACTCATGACAGCCCCTTCTGCCTGAGGAAACAGAGCCATGACAATCGGAAATCCACCAGTTTTATGTCAGGTATGTCAGTCCCATTTGTTTGATCACATGCATCTGTCTTTTGAGAAATAGCATAGTAGTAACTCACCTTTGTGCCATTCTGCTCTCCAGAAAATTTTTATTTATTTATAAACAAGAAGCATACCCCTGACCCCAAAGAACACACACACACACACAGACACACATACACAATGAAATTGTTCCTGGGCAATCAACTTTGGTGCTATGAAGTCTGTTTTACAATATCATGTATTTGAATTACAGAGGACCGTTCAAGCTCTCACTCATACCTTACTTACTTTTCATTTACAAATAGTTCTTACATATCTATAATTATCCAGTTTTCTAAATCACAGCAGTGAAAAGCTAGCTATGTATTTTAGGGATGAATAAAGACTTCTGAGAGCATGTACAGCTAAAAGGCAACTGATTTTCAGTCTACCACACAGAACACATCAAAACTGTGAAGAGCAGACACCGGAACCCAGGAAGCGCGGCAGCCCGGGGCTGTTATGTGTAAGGTCAGACAGTCCCGTATAATTAACCGTGACAAAGATAACCCCACTCATCCCAAAAAAGTGCACGTGATGTGTCATTCTGTGTAAGAGGGGGAGGTGCTTCACAGGGTAATTTCTTCTGAAAACTTGACCTTGACTCAAGAAACTGGTTGGCCTAAGGTTTGGCGCTTCTGGGCTTAACCTGAAACCCAGGGCAAAATGAAAACGTGTTTCTTGGTTACGAATAGGAGGTGACCATGAGAATACTGACAGCTAGATGTACTGAGAACTTTCTGTGCCACTGGCTCGGAGTCAGGCTCGCCTGCTTGAATTTCTCGTTTAATTCTCACTGTTACTCTACGGGGAAAGACTTTTCTTATCTCCACTTTCTCGGTGAAGAAACTGAGGCATCGAGCAATTGGGTGGCTTACTCACGGTTACACCGCTAGAGAGTGCTGGGTCTCACGCCAGCTGTGTCTCACTCCAGTGCTTCTACTGTACTGTCTGCTCCCCAGCCTTCTGCATCCCAGTTTCCTCAGACACAGCTGGGATGGAGGAGAGAATAAACCAAGAGCTGCTCTGGGAAAGTAAACACCAGCCAAGGGTCAGAAGCCTAAGCCTGTGCTTAGAGGCACACAGTTGTGTGTCCTTAAGGTTGCAGTCTCCTGCAAATGCAGAGGAACCATTCACATCCTCACTGTTCTTAAGGGGGTCTGACAGATGCGAACACGTGTCGATGATGTGAAGGAGGCTACAGTAACCGTGGTCACCATATAAGCCAGCACTGACTTTGTGCCTCCCAGGCACTGAGTGGAGTCCTCTCCATGGCTTCTTTCATCCCATCATATACCTTGTTCTCCTCATACTGAGAGCCATACGGCAGAGAGGAAGAGACCAGACCACTGAAGCTGCTGCCTCCCATACGCCTTCAAAGCCTGAAGTTGTGCTCTGTATTTTAACCCCCTCCTTCTGTAGCTCTGGGTGATTCATGATTTAGTATTCAATCAGGAAGCACTTAATATCACCATTAATTCATGAAGTGTCTCACCAGCGCTTAATTTACATCCTTCCAGCTTAGCCCGGCTGGGTAGTTTCCTAACATAATATTTTATGTAGCTGAGTACTTTCAAATCTTTATATAATCCACTCCCTGCACCAGTCCTATGAAATGGCATTGTTCTTCCCACTTTATAGTTGGGGAAACTGAGGCTCAGAAAACAGAAGGGAATGGCCCGGGGCTGGACTATCAGTAAGTGGCAGAGCTGCCACTCAAACCCTTGCTTTCCTGACTCCAAGGCCAGAGTGCTTTATTCTGGCGCCTGTGACCCGCCTCCCTGTCCCTGGCCGCTGTGAGCCCTGGGGATGCCAGACCGCCCGCCACCCTCCGTGACTGTGTGTGTTCTCGGCCCGCACAGTCAGCCCCAGCAAGGAGATCAAGATCGTGTCGGCCGTGCGGAGGAGCAGCATGAGCAGCTGCGGGAGCAGCGGCTACTTCAGCAGCAGCCCCACCCTCAGCAGCAGCCCCCCTGTGCTCTGCAACCCCAAATCTGGTGAGTGGCGGAGAAGTAGCCTCGTGTCGGACGGTGATGGTTCGGGGCACTCAGGCGCATGTGCAGGCTGGGTGCCCTGCAAAGTGGATTCTCGGGCGGGAGGCTGGTGTGTGGCAGTCTCCTCCCCACGTGCTCCTGGGGGAAACACCTGCTGGAAAGAAAGGGTGTAGGTTTGGGCAGAGGGAGAACTGGGCTGCAGTGCCGCCTCAGTGGAGGCTTCAGACCCCATGAGGAGCCCTAGAGCTGGGATGGCCTGGAGAGTTATTCCAGCTTGGGGTGGGCGGCCAGGCCTTTATCTCCTCATATTGGCCAGTCATTGGCTGTTGACTGCCCCTGCACGGATGGCGTGGCCTGGGGAAAGGCAGCTTCTTTGGAGAGAGAGTTCCAAAGACAGCTGAAAACATTGGCCGTCTGAGGGCTGTCTGCTGTTAGCAGTCCCTATTGCTGGGAGGAGCTGCTCAGTCCCGAGGGAGGGTTTGAGCAGCAAACAGCAGGGGAAATAGTGCTTCCCCGGATTGCAGCTGATGCGAAGACCTGTCGGGTCTCAGCACCCTGAAGGAAGAAGCTCAGACCTCCGCAAACCCGGCTGTCCCTGCAATAGACTCTTGGTGCCTTGTGGTTTCAAACCCTACTCACCAACTTCCATGGCATCTATATTCCAAAAAAGAAAAATAGGCACAAAGGTTGTTAATGAACTTGTACTTAGAAATAATCCTTCCTTGACCTAATCAGTTCTTCTGCCCCACAGGAACCTGTATTCCATCCCTTCCCCACCTCCTTCCCAGGATTATATTGTGTGGTCTATCATGAAAACCGTGGCCTTGAAAACACCTTCACCGCCATTTGTTTAGTGCCCCGCCCACCCTCAGTTCAGTATATCACCTTCAGGGCAGAAACTTTTTTCCTTTGTTCATGCCGTTTCCTCATACAAGGATAGGAGGTCATGGCCTCATCCCTCAGTGAGGACATCATCTCTTGGATGAAAAAGAAAATTATGCATCCACGAGAATAAGGGCAAAGAGATGTTGTTATAGGACTTTAAGAGAAAACTGACATCTAATGCTATTCTCTAGGCAAGTGCATTTTTTCCCTAACTTTTCTTCCCCCTGCCTTCTGGAGGGTTAGCTCTGAGAATAAAGTTGTAACCTGCAAAGGTATGAAGAAACTTGCTCCCACACTGCCTCTGGCTGGAAAATCATCAAGCACCCACATACTACTGGGTTTTTCAATTAATAGAGCATCACTGATAAGATAGAATGAGAAGTACATTCTTAGAAATAGCATGTTTGAAGCCTTGATGGACACCTCAAAGTTAGAACCAAAAGAATTCAGTTTCAGGAAAGGGTCAGTTGTGATAAAGCCATTTTACATGTTTTTGATTGCTTACAATAGTAGAAGATGAACAAAGTGTTGATTTTACTTAAATTAACTGCGCATTCATCTTCCCTGAGGTGGGTTTGCATTGTTTCTTCATTCTCTTTACCCTCTTGGCTCAGAGGGAAAATTTTACTGATATGCAGGCAGAAAAGATAGGTCAAGTTGCCTTAGGGGGGCTCTCTAAGGACCAGCGCGTCAGGACTTAATTGTGTCCTACCTCTTAGCCATATTCTGACCAGCTCCTCTTTCACTCTGAGTTCGGAGGATTCCCAAGATGCAGTGAGCTCATCTGCGATTTTTTTTTTCTTAAGGAGATAAGCAGACTTCACAGTAAGGCATTTAAAATTAATCATTAGATACACATCAGGATATGTATATTTTTCACTACTGTATATAAATGCCTTAAGCCAGATAAAAAAAAGTGCTACAGAAAATAACATAGTCAGTATCATTGTAAAGAGTAAATAAATTCCCAAGAATGTGAAAAGAGAAAGCTGGAAATAATTCCCTTGGTCTCAAAGTTTCTACATTTTCAACGTAAGAACGAGAGAAAGTATATTAAAACAAATGGTCAGTATTATTGCCAAATATTACAATATAGTGTGATTCAAAACTACAGTGAGGTGTCAGTCACCTCATGTCTCAGAATGAGTGTTATCAAAAAGATAAGTAACAACAAATATTGGTGAGAATGTGGAGAAAGGGAACCCTCGTGCACTGTTGGTGGGAGTGTAAATTGACGCAACCACTATGGAAAACAGTATGGGGGTTCCTAAAAATATTACAAATAGAACTACCGTGTGGTCCAGGAATTTCACTTCTGGGTATTTATCTAATTCTAATTTGAAAAGTTATCTGCACCCCCATGTTTACTGCAGCATTGTTTACAATAGCCAAGACATGGAAACAACCTAAGTGTCCATCAGTGGATGAATGGATAAGGAAAATTAATAATGGAATGTTATTCAGCCATGAAAATGAAGGAAATTCTGCCATTTGCATCAACATGGATGAACCTCGAAGGCATTATGCTAAGTGAAATAAGTCAGACGAGGACAAATACCATATGATCTCACTTGTATATGGACTTTAACAAACAAAAAAGCCGCCAACTCAAATGGGTGGTTGCCAGAGGAGGGGATGGGATGAGGCGGATGGGAGGGTGGGCAAAATGAGTGAAGGGGGTCAAAAGGTGCACATTTCTAGTTATAAAATAAGTGAAGTCTTGGAGATGTAATGTACAGCGTGGTGACTGTGGTTAATAGTACTTCACTGTATATTTGAAAGTTGCTAAGAGTAGATCTTAAAAGTTCTCATCACAAGAAAAATCTGTAGCCATGTGAGGTGACAGATGTTAACTAGATTAGGTGATGATTTCATAATATACACATCATTATGTTATAAACTGAAACTAGTATAATGTTATATATCGATTATATCTCAATAAAAAAAGAGAGAAAGTGTAGTAAAATAAATGGTCTCTAATAAATGTTGGAAATATCACAAGTACACTGTGATTCCTACATCCAAACTCTTAAACCCCAGAAAGGATTGCAGGGGGTGAGGTGGGGAGAGAGCTTTCTGGCAGGGAATGAAAAGGGCACAGTTCTCAACCACAGACCCCTTTTCTTGCCTCCCGACTGTCTGCTGAGACCTTTGCTCTTGATATTCAACCTTCTCCCTCTTTGGGGGCAACGTAAACTCACATTCTCTTTTTTGAGCTTTCTGAAAGCAAAAGTAATAACCCCAGCCACCTGTCACTCAACAAGAAGCACTTCGTTGCCTCTAACTGAGAAGGTGCTTATCAGGGCCCAGCTGCTGGTGGAGCGTCCAGGCCTCGCCCCAGCTGCCTTTCACTTTCTGTTCCGAGACTGGCGTCTGACGTCTGAAGGCCACCAGCAGAGGGAATTGGAGGCTGGCACTTCTTGCCAGGTTAAGCTTCCGTCCCTGGCCTTTCCAGTGTCTTTGTGGACCCGAGTTCATGATGTCTCTATAACTAGGATAGGGTGGTCCTTGCCTGCCAACCCACTGGCTGCTCTGGACAGTTGTGGCAGTCCATTCTCCAGTTCTTAGTGAGCACAGGATGGATGCGGAAGTTCATTTTTGCTGGGTTTTTAGGCAGGCAACAAGTCAGGAGTTGACTGTGGCCCTCACCATCTTGGTGGACCACCAGCGTGATCTGATGAGAACGGATGTCTCAGGAGGGCAGCACACAGCTACCTTTTGGAGCTTCTGAGCCCTTTCTTCTGCTTACTGTGGAGACAGCACCACATGAGAGGAGCCTTGTAGCATTGACTTGTTGTGTCTGAGACCTTGGGCACAAGCTATTTAACTTCTCTCAGCTTCTCTTTTCTCCCTGATAGAATAATGATGAAACGCACCCATTCATTCTTGTGATGATTAAATAGGAGGATATATTTCTAGCACCTAGCATAGCGCCCAGCACGTGGTAAGCATGCAGAAAAGTCCACCAGTTTTACCATTCAGGGCAAAAGGCAACGTGTACGTGAAATCTGGGCTATTAATAGGGAAATAGTGAGACTCTTCCCCTTTGTATGGGATGTCTGCAATATGTTGGGGGAGGGGGTTGTGCGGGGCTTGTTCTGGAAACATGGCTATCAGACTGCCAGGGTTGGGACTTCTCTTAACTTTGACATGTCGAACGCATGTCTAGATTTAAAAGAAAGAAATTGGAGAACTAGAAAATGTTGGGGGTTTTGTCCTTTACAGAAAAATTTCAAACCACTCCTTACCCCACCCCTGGCACTCTCACCGTGCTCTGTTTCTTCTTGCCATAGCTCTGTAAGTTAGGTTTAGGGTTATTTATGTTTGCTAATATATTCCATCTCTAGCTGGCTACACTAGAAACTGGGAGACAGGGATCTTTGCCACTTTTGTTCCCTGATGTCACATTTGAGGCAGTCAGTAAATATCTACTGAATAAATGAACAGAGGGTTCAGAAGGGTTTCTAGTTTGACACTGCATCTGTCTTTCAGTGTTAAAAAGACCGGTCACTTCTGAGGAACTCCTGACTCCTGGGGCTCCATATGCGAGGAAGACGTTCACGGTAGGTGCGCTGTTCTGTTTTTCTCCCTTGCTGCTCGTCGATCTCAGCCATGTCAACATGTCACTGTGTCAATTTGTAACTTAGGAGCGAAACTGAAAAAAAGCTTCTCCCAATTTCCCTTTTGTTTTAGCTTCATTATAATAGTAGGCTTTATTGACCCCTAGGCACAAAGATGCATTAGGACTTGACACAATTTATTATTAATACAGCATTTAAAATTCCTTTTGATGTATCCTTTAAAAAAGATTTCTATCAGGCACTCATTCTAATATATTCTAATATAATTACAGATTAAAAGGCAAATGCTAGAACAAAAAATGCCAATAATTTCTTCTGCGTTACAGTTAATTCTAAAAATTATTTAAGACATTAGGAAAGTCTTAAGGTAGAGAAAGAAAACTATGGGATAGATTGATTGCTCTACATAAGGAATGATGCTTTTGACAACATTATCATGCCTTGAGCTATATGAGCGCCTGATTTGGGTGCACTGTGTACCTGGGAGCACCTCCGGACCACCTGCCCTTTCTCGGAGGTCCTTCAGGCTTCCCTCTTCTTCTGGGGTCTCACTGGTTCCTTCAAACAGATTCCAAGTGCTCTGCTTGGTATCATGTCACCCACTTTCCATCCCCTGGCCTCTTTCTTTGTCTCCTCCCATCTTCAGCGACATCTTCTTTAAAACACTTCTCTTTGTCTCACTTTTATAACTTTTGTTTTATTTACCTCAGGGAGGAAAAGCATCTTTCCACACTCATTCATATGCTGCAAACTTTTGTCAAGGACCGCTCCACGTTCTGAGCACTCAGGAGTTAAAGTTGGGGGGCTCAGTTGTAGCAGGTCATAAGAAAGAAACACTAGTGATGTGTCTGTATCGGGGAACAGGTACACTGTGCATCTGGAAGTGGAATTAGGTATCATGAACAATAGCAGCAAACCCAAAAGCCAGCAAAGTGCCCAAGAAGAACTTCTCAGACAAGCAGAAACTAAGAGTTCATCGATATTAAACCTGCCCTAAAAGCCTTTTTGAGAGTATTCACAAAACATTTCATCTGCTTCCCTGTTTTTCCACCATCTCCAGCATTCAAGAGACAGTGGATTGTATTTTTAAAGTGTACGTCTTTTTGATTTTAAATATCAGTGCCAGCGTTGCTAGTAATTGACTGAATGGCTTTCCTCTGTATTTCAGTTGGGTTATGTCTTAGAGACATGTCTGGGAGCTGCTCAGGGAATGAAACTGCCAATTCTAATTATGACTCTGTAGGAAGGGGCACCCTCCAGTTTCAAACAACTTTTGGACCAGAGTTGACTTCTAAATTGTGAACTTTATGCACTTTTTCACTGTCTTTCCTTGGTGGAGAAAATTGTGTTTCAAGAAAGCCAAGATTCTTCATGCGTCCTAACCTTAGTAATTTAAATTGTTACACTTTAGAGTTCAGTGCGGTAGCAAGATCATCAAGAAAGTATCATTTGGATGCAGGGGAAGCAGACAAACTTGGAAGAGAGATGGGGTCTGGAGAGAAATTTCAACCACGTTTTTAAGATCTTCTAAACTTTCCATTCGAGTCTGATATTAAACTGCATAGTAGCCTAAGAAAGAGGCGTTCTGCCAGTTATCTGAGTCGTAACCTCCCAGAAGCAGCTTCTTTCTGCCAAACAAGTGCTTCTTGACCACATTTTCCACTTAGATACATAAGCCTGTGTTTGCGATAGAAGGAAAGCGTTCCATTCCCCTGACAGGGGAGAGATGAAATGGAGACGGGCTATCTCATGGCGTGCACTTAATCTTGGGCTTTCTCTCTCTTGGAAGTCCGGGCAAGTTGCCAGGGACCGTCTGCTGATTGCTAATTGTGGTTTTCCTCTCTAGATTGTCGGTGACGCCGTTGGCTGGGGCTTTGTGGTGCGAGGAAGCAAGCCCTGCCACATCCAGGCCGTGGACCCCAGCGGCCCCGCGGCTGCTGCGGGGATGAAGGTACCGCTAGTCGAGCCGTGTCTAAGTACCTCAGCTCTGCTTCATTGTGTGCTGCCGTCTGTGCCTCTTTCCCTATGTGTTTGGTTCCGTTTTTGTCATTTCCTTTTCCCTTTCTGAATGAGGTTGAAATGAAGCCAAAAGCATACGATGTAGCAAGTGGGAGGGTAAGTTCTCCTCTCGCTCTGGCTGCGCCTCCTCGGTCTCCAGACCTGCCTTGGTTTTTCCCTGTCTCTCTCCTTAACCAATACTGAGTTTGAAAAAGAATTTTTCCTTTTTGCTTAAATCTTATGTAATAACTCTACTGCTTCTGCTCCACACAAAGTGTATGCTTGTGGCGTTTATGTATCCAGTAGAGCACGCAGGAGCGTAAGAAACAGGGACTAGTGAGAGAAAGAGAACGAAAGTCATGGAATTTGGAAGAGGAGAGCTGGATTTATATTTTGATGTTTCTGCTCACCAGCTCTGACTTTGAACAAGTTCTGTGACGTCCCAGAGGCTGTCTCCTCTGAGAACGGAATCATATTTCGTTCTGCTGTTTGATGGATTAAATATGCGGAAACACTTGATAAAGTACAAAGAACTACACACATATCAAAAAACTGAACAAATTAGCTGAGGTTTTTGAAAATAATTTTTACATATTTTAAGTATTAAAGGAATGACTCTAAAGTCAAGAAAATCTGGAAAATACGGACAAGCAGGAATGAAAAATTATAATTGCCAATAATCTTGCCTAACTCAGAGATAACCACCGTTAACATTTTCAAGCGCCTCTATTGAAGTCTGATTGAGATACAATAAACTTAATTTATTGTATTAATAAATACGTTGTTAATATTTTGATTATATTCTTCCAGACTTCTTGTACCTGTATATACATATATACATACACACATACATGCAAATACATATATATATATATACACTCATTATTTTTTTTGTAAAGAAATACAGTATAAGAGGATGTTGAGAACACTAGTTTCTGCTTCAAAACACATTTATCTAGCACAGTTTTGTTCTGTCATCTGTAAAACTTTTCACAGAGGACATTTATCTCTTGATTGTCTGGGGTCATGGGAGGATGCAAAGAACTTGAAAGCGACGGATTATTTCCATCTTTATTTCCTCAATACTTTGATCCTCCTGCATCAGTCCTTCTCCTAGAGCAGTAAACCAGTAAAGCAGTAGGCACGGTTTGGATCTCCACAGCTCTGATTTCTAGCACTTACCCTCTGGCAATGGTTTAATGTACTAGAAAAGAGAGGTGAGCTGCTGAGACCAGCTCAAGGGAGCCCCGAGCAGAGATTATGGCCAGTCTGAGTAATCGGTGCTGGTAGGGTTCAGGGTCGACTCTGCCCCCTGATTTGAACGCCTCCTTCATCCAGGGAGGCAGAGTCTCGCCCGGTCCTGTGCTGTGGGCAAGTTAACAGAAGCCTTGTTGGCTCGGTCCGTCTGTCAGCGCTGCAGTGGGCAGAGCACCAAACAAGCCCAGAGCAGGAAAGTTTGCCAAGAGCATTTGTATCTGTGCCGAGGCTGAATTTTTCATTTTCTAATGGAACTCTTGGCTGTGGGAAGGGTTTTATATTTTATTTCCACAGTAAATTACCTAAGTATAAATTATTTTTGGCAGAGCGCTTCGGTTCTGAGCGTGTACTCACTCGCATGGGGCTTTGACTTAAAAGCACATCTCCTTTGAGGAAGGCAGTGGGTTGACATTGCAGCTAAAGACCTGGCTTTTGCTTAGCCAAATGTGTTTAATTGATTTCAGTTCATCTTGATTAACACGCATAACTGTTCTAGGCATTGTCAACTGATTAATTAATTAACTTCTTAATGTATATACCCTGATAGGGCAACCTGGTATTTTTTTTTCCAACTTCAGAAGCTAATACTCCAGATGGTTTGTAGTCTTAGTTTCTCAGAGGGGAGTGTACGATGGTTTTCATGTGTTGTAGGACAGGACAGAATTCAGTAGAACTGCATTTTCAAAATTGTATTATACAGCACTCTGGTCCAGCAAAATATCCTGTCTTGAGGTTCTGTGATCAAAACAGTTTTAAACTGCTGCACACTTTATTTCCCTGTTGGAGTTTACAAAAAGCATATTAGCATCCTAAAAATGCAGGTGAATCCAGTAGGGGGAAAAAATCTGTTTAAACTATCTAACACAACATTTCTCTTAAGATTAAGAATAGCCCTGTTCTAAGAAGCTGCCTTTGGTCAAACTCTGTACTGGAATGAATATATTAGATATATTTTTGAATTGTACTGTTGGTTACATGAAAATGAGAGGAAATAACCATGCTCTTCCACATAATTTACTGGGGCATATTCCTTTACATTACTTAGTCTGTTATTTTGTTATAGAAAATGCTGAATAAATTATTTCCTATTTTTACCATATATATTTTTTATAAAATAACTTTACTTATATAAAAAGCCATTTTTGTGATCCAGTTCTAGAGGCTTGTTTGCCAACCTGGGCCATCGCTCCTGCTCTCAGACGGCAGGGCAGTGTGTCTGGTTGTGCGGTGCTCTGTTGAGGGGGAGCGGAGGTGACCCTGCAGGAGAGTGTCCCGGGGGAAGGATCTGCTGACCTGGGCCATCATTGACCTGTGTGGTCCGGGTGGTAGAAATTGCCCAAAACTCTGGCCAGAAGCCTCCTTTTGGCATCTCCGACTAGCAAGGACTGGCCCAGGACAGTGTGAAGTGTCCCACTGTCTCCACAGAAGACCAGGCTCAGCCCTCAGGTCCCAGCCCTTCTCTTCTCCAGTGTAGACAGAGCTTTGTATCTGGGCCTTTGTGACCTTTCCATCTAGGGAAAATTTTGTGCTTTTACTGTTGCTGCTTCATTTCACTGCTTTACTTGCCAAAACAGAAAGCATTTTGTAACTAAGTTGCTTGTGTGTGTTTACCATTTCTCTCTTTTATTTTACCTTTTTATGGGGCTTGGAAAATTTTAAGAGATGGGCCACGAGTATGTGGATAGGACAGGCCCCAGACTGAAGAGACTGAGTGCTATATTCACCTAACACTTCTTGACCTTCCCAGGCCCAAAGAAGGGCTCTTTGCCTGGTTTAAATGGAACCTTTAATCCACGATGAGGGGAGACTCTCATGTCTGTATTAAAATTTACTTACTTAAAAAGAATGTGAAAAGGGATATGTGTATGTACATGTATGACTGAGACGTTATGCTGTACACCAGAAGTTGAAACAGCATTGTAAACTGACTCTACGAAAAAGAACGCGCACACACACACAAAATTACTTCTCTAGAAATTCTGGAAGAGCTCCAGAGAAAATGTGTCCTTAAGGAGAATGGTAAGACCCTCCTGACTTCTCTGGATTGGAGAGAGAGCTCTGTGACCCGGCCCCAGTGCCCAGAGCAGTCTGTGCCCGTAGCCTCCTCACAGCTGACCTAGGCTGGTAGGGGCTGGGTCAGGCAACTCAGGTCAGGATGGCATTGCTGAGATGCAGGCCAGGGAAGGTTCCATCCTGACTTCAGTTGTAAATGGAACTGAGTTTTAAGTGCTTCAGTCAAAAGACTTTTACACCATCTCTAGCTTGTACGAAAATTTTATTTCTCCTCTGGTCCATCTCTCTTCTTCCCTTCCAGTTACCTTCTCCTCTTCCTGCAGTAGTAATGTATTTGTTCCCAGAGACCAAAAAGGGAACAGATGTTACAGGAGGCCCCAAACTATAACCTTATTTTTAGTTTTGTCTGAATCAAGACCCACATTAAAAAGAGAACAATGAATTATAAGTTGCTGTGTTGTTTCGTACTCCTCTCCTCCTGCTTCCGGCCAACAGAACAATGTCCAGAGTCCCTTTAGAATTCTCACTTGATCCAGCATCTCTGAATTTGGAGTTATTCCTATTTTGAAGGTTCTTTTATTTAAAAAATGAAATCTGTAAACCTCTGGCTAGGAGGACCTTTCCTTGGCATTGTAACTCTAGAATGGAGCATGAAATATGGGAACCATCAAAAGTCGAGTCAACCCATGTAATGCATTTTCACCTAAAAGAGGTTGTTTCCTACATTTCCCTTTGGCAACTCTTCACTCATCCTTTAGGGATTGCATACCAGTAGCTTCTGGTCCTTTTCAACACAGTGGGGAAAGGAGGAAAGAAGAGAAGGAGCTACCCGTTATTGAGTGTCTTCTGTATGCCTGACCGTGCACCATTCTAGGCTCTTTCTGCGCGTGAGTCCACTTAGTATCAGCATCTAAATACTAAAATCCTGGAGGAAGAAATGGTTCCAGGAGGAATCATTGTGTTTCTTACCTCTTCTCTGCTACTTTGAAAAGGGATAAAGTTCCTCCTCCAAGACATTCTACAGGCTACAGTCTGATGACTATCACTTAAACTTGGCTTCTTGTCACAACCTTTAACGACATCCTCTTTTTTTTTTTTATCACATCAAGTGTAAACTCTTTTCTGGATGACATTATCTAATCATAACTTCACTTTGCATGATCCTTTAATGGCTTCCTTCCACTCTGGTCAGGGCAGAATTTTACATCTCACAAGTAAATACATCATGGCAGGGAAGGTATAACTCAAATGGTGGAGCATATACTTAGCATGCACAGGGTCCTGGGTTCAATCCCCAGTACCTCTTCTAAAAGTAAATAAATAAATACAAATCACCCTAATTACCACCCTCCCCCCCCCCACCAAATATATGATTGTTTCTCTGTCTGCCCCTCAAGTAAATCTAATTACATGACTCTGACTCTTAAATACTTTAATGGCTTCCCATTACAATGAGCGTAAATTCCAGACACCGGCTATGGCCTACAGAATCCATGATCTGGGTCCTTTGTAAATCATAACAGGAGCTCCAAACCTGTTTTGCTGTAGCTCCGTTGACCTAAGGCTGAACGACAGTTCTGCTGTTGTCGTTTAAATCTGAAATTAAATGTTAATTTTTCAGAGAAGCCTTTAAATACCCTCTCTTCCTCCATTTACTTTTTTATCACATTACCCTGCCTTACT